GGCGCTGTGCCCGCCCGCTCTGCGGCCCTCTTCGGGCCGGCAGCGGCCTCGGTGGGAGCCGGGCTGGCCGCGGGGGGAGATGCCGGCGCTTCCGCGCTGGGTGCGGGCGCGGAACCCCTTGTGCTAGAGCGGGCACGGTGCGAGACAGCTGGGAAGGGCCCTGGCTTGCCAGAGGCTTACCTGGCAAACGTTTCAGGAAGTGGCGAAAACTGTTTCCCACTAGATAATTTATTCAACCAAGCACTTTGATTTTCAGAACTGACCATCACGCGTGAATTATTGGCGGTGTTCTCACTACAGTTGACCGATGCTACGGGTTATCCACGTTATAGTTGAAAATGGATGATGCCCCTGCCTATGCATAAAATCTGCTCCATGATCCAGAGTTTGCAGCTGAGGTAGAAATAATATGCATTCGGTAGCTTTTTGATTACTTGCTGCATAAGGTCCTATTTGTCCACCTGTAGTCCTACTTAGGAAAATGTACACATGCATGCATACATAAGAAGCACCATATAAACCATCAATAACAGGAAAGAACAGTTTTAAAATACAGGTCTCAAAAAGATCATTTGTAATTGGTTTAGCAATGCCTGTAGTGTCGTAAAATTAAGCTGTGTCCTTTAGTCTTAGCTGTGTTATAAATAAACTCATATCTAAGCCTTTGTCCACGAATGACAACACTGTCTATACACACTGCACTTGATTATGTTCTGACAGCAGGCTGACCAAGAAATACTGGCTTACGCTATGATCAAATGTTAACACAGACATACATTCCTACCAAAATGAAAAGCAGGCATTGATAAAAGTGATTTCAAAGTGATATTTTAATTTTTTCTGGATTCTATCCCGTAGTCTCAAATGTCTTATAAAAAGCTTTAGTAATTCAAGTAGCTTGCAGAACTTTAAAAAACTTTAAACTTGGATATTCTGAAAATTTTGTGTTCCTTGTTCCTCTTTTACAATCATTAAAAATAAAAATACGTTACTGAGAGGATCACTTGCAAAAGACTACTGTGTCAAAAATAATTATTTCTTTAGAGTTTAGTTATCTTTTGGATCCATAGGCAGGGAACTATTTCCTTTCTCCATCTCTGCAGCTGATTCCTGGGCTACCAGCAATACAGTCTAGCATTTCATTCTCATCTTTATACAAAAAACGTGATCTGATCTCTGACTGACTTCCAAGTTAAAGGAAAAATGCTGAAATCCTGAGTGCTAAAAATAGTGGTATTTAAGGGAATAGTTTTCACATCCACCTTTTTTGTTTGTTTTGGATAAAGGATTGCCGATAACTCCATGCACTGGGAACCTTTTAATACAAAATTTGGACTCAAAATATTTCCACAATTACTGCCTAAGAAGCTGAAATATAAGAGGAATATCAGATATGAATGGAAGTCCAAATGTTCTGACTTACCTGCCATGTCCAGAAAGTTGATATCTTTAGAATGAATGATGATATGTGTTAGCCAGGAGCATTTCTGGCAACCCATTACAAGGGGATAAGGTATTACGCCTCTGAAATTACAGAATGACTCTCATATTTCAGAATGTTCAGAACTTGTGTTTTAAATATAGCTTGTGAGATCAGTTGCTGAGTCTTTATTTTTGGACAAATCAGTGCTTAGAGAAGAATAATATACAGATCAAACGGTGGAGAATTGAAAAGCTTTCCTCCTTGATGTGACGACTTGGAGCAAAAGAAAGATTCCTGTCTAGTTTTCCTTCTCGATCAAAATTTTACAAGGTAAATTTCTGAGTTAAAATACTTCATAATATGTTCATAGGTGATCTAATAAAATCACTAGAATTTGCCCCTCTTTAGAGGATTTAAAATGTACCAGTAGCTGTTGTGGTTTTGTTCATTGTTGTTATAATAAAGAGGTACATAACTTCATCCCCACCAGCCCCTTCTGCCTACTTTTCTTTTTTTTAGTTTAAAAAAGTATCTCTATGTTTCTGCTTAGTGAATTGCTCTGTACACCAGTAAAAGCCAGAGCTGACTAAGGATGGTGAGTTTGAAGTTTTAAACAGGAGGGGGAGAGAGAAAGAGATTCTCCTTTCTGTTGGAGAATAGGAAACAGACCCATTGGAATAAGAGCATTTCTGTTATAAATGAGTGCTGCATTTTGAATACTCAGTACTGAAATTTTCTTCCTTCTGGGATGTTACAGAAACTCCCGATAATGACTCTTCTACCTCACCAAAACCATTGGTTATTTGGGACGGCAGTACATTAACGGACGGGAAGCTGTTTAATTCTGATTGTTACAATGACATACAACATTTGTAGTGCTTCATTTTAGGAAAGAAACAGAGTTGTTATGCGTGCCCCAATTCTCATGATTTCGGTATTCTGATGATCTGCTTCTCAGAATCTAGATGGGCAGCAATTGGCAGTTACGCATTTGAATAAATCACCATACAGCATGGACAGAAAGCTTGTTTATCATTGAAGAAAAAAAAGTAGTATCCTGACGTAAATGATAGATGTTAGCAGTTTTTAGTAATGTTTGCAAATACATTGGTTTTTTAATCTCTTTTCGTCTATAAACAGATGTAAATAATGCCACTCGTATTTTCACTTAAAATACAAGTAGTAAGCTTGCTAATAAGGTTAAAATATAATCAGAGTTTGTTACTAGGTAATTGTGAGACACAACAAAAACATTTATACTACTTAGTGTTAATTACTTTTAGCATATTTGTTCCCTCCCCTGTCAAGTAAGTGGAAAGAGAAGTTCATCTTGGTGTGTTTCATCTGTGTTATTAAATACTGACAATATACCATGGCCAACATTTTCCATTAATGAGCACATAGAATTAGGCACACATACTTGGAATCCAATTTTAGGCACACATACTGAGTGGAATCCAATTTTGAAATCAATGACAAAAATCCCTTGGGACCTCTGTGGCACAAGCATTTCAGGCCTAGTTTTCAGCTTTCATAGTAGGAGTTATCAAGGCTCAGCACGTATGTAGAAGATCGTTCCTTAGATGGGACATCTATGTTAATAATACCCTAATCCATGGTTTTCTCCAGTGTCATTGGCTGAGGAAAAGGGGGGCAATAGAATGGAATGATCAAGTTCTATGAATGCAGTGCTTGGGGGGGGGGGGGGGGAAATGCGGCGAAAAATGAATTTCTTCAGTGCAAGGACATCTATGAGAGGAAGGGGCACATGGTTATGCCATTGGTGCCCCTCGCTATGAGAAGAGGGGTTTTTGCTATTTCTCTGAGCTGCACATGGAGAAGCTGTTGATTCCAGGGAAAGAACAGACTTTGCTTTACGGTGTCATTTGCGGGGCCTGGGTAAAACCTGACACGCAGACTGACTGCTTCCTGAATATTCCTACATTTTCCATTTCTGTCTTTTTAGCCTGCAAGTTATGTCCATGCAGGCACTAGAATGGTTTGTGAAGTGAGGACACAGTATGAAGATGCCTTGCACTGTCTTTCAAAGGTTAATGTTCCTGGGCTTCTGCTTCATTCAGTATAGTGGAGCTTAAATAGACCTTAAACAGTCTGTAATGATAAAGAGTAAACAGCTCTTGCAGTTAAAAATTTCTTCTGACGTAATAGTTATCACTGGTTACA